AACTATTGACAGCATGTAATATGGATTAACACTGGACACTGTTGTTTTCAATGCTGTGACTACCTCAAATCAAATTATATTTATCTACACTGTACTGAGGTGGATGCAGAAATGTCAGAGATAGTTATCTCAGAACTTGGACAAATAAAACCAGAACAATGTGCATTCATGGAAATGTTTTTGCTGAATTTGGGTGAACCAACCCTTTAAAACAGCAGGCACTTGAATGATGAATGTAAAATACATCACAAGTGGTCAGTCGTGCATTTTGCCATTTTGCCACAGAGATTCTTCTGTATCGTAAATAAAACCATATGTGTGTGCCCGGCTGTGTCTGAAATCACACTTTACTATAACAGTGGTTCACTACATTCATTTTATGGAATCTCTTTTCACTGCTCAATATTTAGTGACCATTATAAAGCGACTAGTTAATGAGTGAACGAGGGAATGATTTCACACACAGCACCTGTGTGTTTCACTTGCTCTTAAAATGATCCAATGTACCTTTAAGTGATGATTCAGGATCATGTTGAATACGGTAATGTAAACTAACATCAGTCACCGTAAGCTGCTGATGCATTTTACTTCTTACGAATTTAAATGTGTTATTTCTTCTTTTTAAGAAATAGTCTCACTTTAGGATGTGAATCTTTCTCATTTAGCTGTGACAGTCTTCAGGAGGTTGCCATCATTTGGGTCCTGGCAACCTGAAGGCCAACATCTGGACCTGGGCCCTACACCTCCTGATGATGGTCTGCTTGGCAACCGGTTCTGCTCTTTTCCCCTTTCACTCTCTCCCCCTCTCGCCTGTCTTTCCTCCTTCAGCGTCCCCCCGGGGTAATTGTGGGGTAATTTATGAAGTTCTAGCAGCATGGAGCAGGCCAGTGTATGGGACAGCCTGCTGACCGAGCCCCATTCAGCTCCAGAGGAGAGGGCCTGGACTCCTTTTATCCTACCAATAATCAGCATCTCTCCCTGGGCCTGGATCCCCCTCCTGACTCTCCTTGCCCTGCAGCCCTCCACAGCATGCAACCCTCCGTGGCCGCTTAAAGATGAAGGGGAAAGTTATTGGACTCTTTAGTGACTCATAAACATCCTAGGGGATTTTCATAGTGCCTTTGTGTCTTTTTGTTGCGGCCAAGATAATGCAATTGTTTCAGGCAGTGTAAATGAATAAATCACCGAGCAGTTTGTCTCAGTGTTGAGAGATAACAAAGGGCAGCACTCCCCGTTCTCAGAAACACTTGTCGGCCCGTTCAGACACTTTGTGAAACAATTTTATATCTCCATCCCCAGACATTGCTACTCAGAGGGAAATGTTTAGATCCATAGATGAAGCAAACCAAACCAATCCCACATATCTGCTCCCGCTTCTCCCCCTATGATGTTGATCTCAGAGCCTTGATATCCAAGCGACATTGAGAAAAATGGTGGTAAATAAAGGCTGCTGTGCCTCCACTATGGGATCTGCTCCCAACCACATGCCCAGATTAAAGCACTGTGTGTGTGTGTGTGTGTGTGTGTGTGTGTGTAGAAGATCTAGCCACTGATCCTGTTAAACAATGACCGGCAGAGAGAGAAGGAAGCCTTACGGTACACAGTACAGGTTTGTTCTTGAGCTTAGTGCTTTATTGAGCCATGATAGGCCCTAATCTAGCCTGATCCTCTGTTGCTACAAGCATATGCCTGTGATAATGCCCTCATTTTCTGGTCACCTGAGCACTTTCATTGGAGTGCACCCAGTGAGGCAGCAGAGAGGTGGTCCCTAATGCCTAAAAAAGTCTGTCATACAGCTCTTGAATTGGATGAAAGGTCCTGGAAGGTGGCATCCAGAGAAGAAAGTCAAACACTCTAATGCAGGGTTAAAAATTGAAGGATTATTTGGAAACATGGAGGGTGGCTACGCTTTCATTTGTAAAATACAAAGCTCAGAGATCCTTGTGTCTCTCTGTGTGGCCCGTTGCCTCTGTAAACACATGAATAAGAATAAGAATGAGCAGGAGAATGGGATTTATCTGGCTCATGCATATAGTAATGGAGTAAGAGAAGGACTGATTACACTCCTTTTATTCAGCTAGAGCCCCATACAATGATCCATATATGTGTTCCTAGTGATTTTACTTTTACTAATACACAACTGCTCTTAGCTATTTCTCACTGATGTGTTGTATTCCCATTCAGTGGTTATGAGTGACAATCTCACTAATCCAACATCTTGTACAGTTAATTAGTAGCCCTAGTGCATATTTCCTCAATTTATATATTATTTATTAAGACCATTAAAGAAACATTATTATATACATATTGTATTTAGATTGTGTAGAACACAATGGAAGCAATGGCACAGAACCAGCCATTAAAAGGTCTGAAACACTGAGAAAGAATGAAATCCGGATCCTTGTGTCCAGCTCAGTTAATTAGGACTTGGCCCAATTAACAGAGGATAGTCCAGCAGCCATGTTGGCTCCGAGCCTAACGATGGGAAAATCCATATGCTCCAAATAAATGGCCCATGTTGGCTCTCAAGGTTCCCCAATTATAATATCACTGAATGTTGGCTGAGCCAAAGCACCCTGCGGGGCCCCCTGATGGAACTGTGGTCGGGGTCCTGAGGAACCCTTTTGATTCCCACTCCTAACTTTCTGTGGGTCCATGTGTGTCGATGTTTGAGAAGGCTTTCTTACTTTTAGAACGCACCCACAGCGAGCAGGACAGACCACTGTGAGTCTCTGTGAGTCCATCAGAATTAAACCAGAGTTATTCATACTGGGCTGGCACACAATATAACAACACAACTGGAGTTATTTCATACAACGCAAAGGGTGTGATTTATTTCTTTAGATGTCTGTGTGGAAAAGGATATGTAGGAAACTCATAAATAGAACAAAGAAAAAAGTACCATGAGATGCACAAAAGAGATTGATCCAGTTGCAGCACATTAAATGGAAATCATCCGGTCTCTTCTCTTGGATGTAAGAGAACTGAGAAGATACGCTTGTCACATACAAGCTTACACTATACTTTCAGCCAAAGAGTGCTAATTGAGGAGTTTGTCTTGAAGCCATTTTTGTAGCGCCTCTTTCTCAAATAACAGAATTTCATGGAGAATAATGAGACATTGAATTCATGGATGGATGTGTTAAAGTTAAACACAGATTGACTCTGAAACTGATTTGTGTTTTTATAATGTGATAGAAGGGATTTGAGTATGCTGTGTTTTGAAAAATATATTAATGGTCTTTTGTATTTATCTGGCAAATTTTGAATCAATACAGAGTAATAATAGTTTGTAAATAATATTTTTTAAGGAAGAAATGTTGATAGTGGTATCAAGGGTGGGTTATCAGTCACATGTTGGGTAAATATAAACCCACTGCACCAAGAAGAGAATAGCAAATTGTTTCTTCCATGAGCTGACAGACAGATGATAGAAACAACACATTCAAGCCCTGATGCCTCTAAAAAGTTTCTTCCATTTGAACTGAATAAAACCTTGTATAATCGCTGTGCAATTATTATGCTCCAGGCAAGAATCAATGCTGCATCCAAGGTTCAATACTGTTTTGAACATCATTTTTTGCCATCCAGGATAGTGTAACACATGAGCAGTGTTATTATATTTTCAAACTGCTGGCCCTCTAGCACTGACTCACTGGAGGCTTTGCTTGGCAGAAGCCGACAGGAAATTCCTGAGCCCGAGCAATGAAATCCAGCCTCTGAACACCGCAGAGAGAAATGTTGAAGAGTCAGCTTGATCCAGCCACCAGATTAGATCAACAGATACATGCTGGACATTTAGCCTGGTAGGAATTTCTATGGCATAAATGGAAACTTCTCTATCTGAGATGCAGTTCCTTTAAAGTTTGCCTCACACTCCTGACAGCTGCCATTTCATATCAAGAGAAAGACGATACTTAAAGCAACTGTGAAAGAAACCTGAGAAAGTGCTTGTGGCTTTACGGTTGAATTAGGCAAAGACAATGCTGTGCCCACTCTTTAGTATCTTTTTAACTACCTCCTCCCCAACTGAAGGACCCCCTTCCAGTGATAGTGATGTGATTTCACAGACTGTTTGGGGAGCCGAGTCAAATTTATCTGACCCCTTTTGTCTTGAGCTCCTTGTTGAATTGTAGCTAGTCCGCCATTAACGCTGCTCTTTACATGTTTAAGCGCCTCATATGGTGCTTCATACCTTTCTCCGAAGTGTCTCATGGATACCATATGTAAATTGGGCCTTAAAGGCATCATATATCTGGTGTTATGGAACAAGGGCAATAAAAATGTGGTTGGCTTCACTCTTATGCAGCTCTATGGTTCAAACTCTCACTTTTGCTTCACTTTTAATGTCTGTATATTGTGAGTATATGGTGCACCTGTATTATAGTGCAACTCGGTGGATCAAAAAATATATATCGAAAACATATCAGGATAATTACATTAACCTTGTTTACAATATTGGAACCTAAGAGAAATACTCTACTACTTGTTTGCTTGAACAATTTTACTTTCACACATGCAACATATATTCATGGAAGTGAGTATCCTGGGTATACAGCTTAACAAACCATGTGAACATACCCCTGTTTTGGTTAATGTGTAGGGGGTTCATCAGGGTCGGGGGAGTTAAATGTGGGTGTGGGAAGGTGAAGTGGGGGCTGCAGGAAGGAGGTGCGGGGGGAGACTGTGTCCCTTCTGCAATTGGCTGTGACTCTAAGTGTCTCATTATGCGGCTTTATTGTTCCTTTGTTATGCCGGCCGTATAAATACACCCCAGTGGGCCCAGAGGGTGACAGTTTAGACAGACTCACTCCTGTGGACAAACTGATCATCAGACTGAACAGCACAAACTCTGATAGACTTTGGAGACACTACAGGGAACTGGAAGAACTCCAAAACAGAAAACCATAAGAAGCATCTGTAGGATTTAAACTCAAGCTCCTAGCATTTAGGGTAGTATTTTTGGACCATTTTTTAATTTGTGCCCCACTTTGACCAAGATGGATTCCGACGCTGGCTCCACCTGCAGCCGTTCCTCATCCCCAGACCTGGTGGTGGATAACTCTGCTGGGAGCTTCTTCTCTAACAAGATGTTCCAGACATACTGCAGAGAAAACAGAGCAGACAGCGAGGCCGGCCAGGGCAGGACGGAGCACTGCGGCGGGGGCGGTAAGAGCAAGAACAGGTCTGACCCTGACAAGGAAGAGGGGCAAGACCTGAGACTGAAAGTCAACAGTCGGGAGAGGAAAAGGATGCATGATCTGAACCAGGCGATGGATGGCCTGAGAGAGGTCATGCCCTACGCCCATGGACCTTCAGTCCGCAAGCTATCGAAAATCTCCACCTTGCTGTTAGCTCGCAACTACATCCTCATGCTGTCCAGCTCCTTGGATGAGATGAAGAAGTTGGTGGGAGATGTTTATGGAGGTGCCGCCGCCCAGAGCCGCACTGCTGCCCACCCCACTATTACCCCAGCAGCCGCCACTGTCCACCTCCCTCTACATCCTCTGGCCCAATCTCTGCACTCTCTAGTAGGCAGCACACCTTCAGCTCTCCAGCATCATTCAGCTTCTACAGCCCCGCACTCTCCTCCATCCACCAGCTACCTGAGTTTTCATGCTCCAGTCCAGGGCCTTCTCAAGGACCCCCTCCATCTGGCCGGCTCCTACAGGCACTTCCCGGGCATGCCATGCCCCTGCTCACTCTGCCAGCCTTTGCCCACCTCCACATTACACAGCCTGTCTATGAACAAGTGAGCAGGACTCTTAAAACTGACCTCTGCTGTTTGGATCAACGTATTGAACCAAGATCACAGAAGATTGTTAAACGAACTGCTAAAATGATGGCTGCTGCCAGAACTTGTACATATTGTATATATCTTCTACAATGCAAACTGCTGCTATTTTTTATCATTGGTCTCATCTGCATCGTTTATACAGAAATATTCTACATGCACAGGGATTTTCTCAGAGTCGCAAATACTGTAATTTATCTGATATCTGTGGTGATGAAACGCTGTCAGAAAAGGAACTGGTGTTGTGCAGGATTTCTATTTTCCTAAATTAAAATTTTTGTTATAATAATAACTCTTGTTTGCCTTTTTCTTTCCATGAATGTCATCTTTAAATCAATACTATATACTATTTTTTGTATTTGTGGTAGTTTTGTCATATTATTGCCTTTTAACAAGACAGCTACAACATTTCTAGAGGGATTTCAGACATACATAGAAATACACAGCAACTTTATGAAAACAATCAAAGCATCTTCTTTAACTGAACAGAAAGGGTTTTATTGGTGCTTGGAAGGACTGGAGAGCAGTGCAAAAAATTATTATTTAGGAATTGTCATTGGTTGCTAACCAGCTTTGGACAGCCTAACCTCTAAAGTGCTCTAAAGAGCCAAAGAGTGACAGAAGGACGAGACAATACGCCAGCACAGAGGCTGAATGTGGTGTTCTTGAGCCAGGGGACCATCCATCTTCTCCTCAACAGGGTGTAGGAGATGAAAGGACGACACAGGCGCCAGGAAGGCGCGTCACTTTTGTCTGACGCAGCCGAGGGATATAGCCATGTCCTTAGCTCTAGGCCAACGATTTGTCTCTGTCTCATAAGAACATGGATATAAGCACACAAAGGGCAAATCTAAAGTGGACGACATAATGCAGTCAGTTTAAAGAAAGTTTCTATAAAAGCATGATTTTCTTCTTTAACTTTTAGATGTGTAGTAAATATTTCCATACACTATCAACACAGATTGCAATCAAATTTTGTTGCATTTGTGTGAAAAAAATCATGTTCCAGCTGATTCACAACAATGATTAATCCACTAAACCACAAACATAACTATTATACACACTGATTGCCATGAACATGGTTTAGTCAAACAAGCCAACAATGGCTGGCCTTCACTTAGCAACAAATCAAGCGTGTAAAATACATGCTTATCCTCCCACGGCTGACAGATGAGTTGGAGATCAGGGGAGAAATGAAGAGATGTAACTCATTCTCACCCACCTCCCTCCCACCCCACCTCCTCCTCATGAGAGCCCTGAATAGGTTTGAACAATGGCCATGCGTGGGACACAAAGGCCGGGGGAGTCCAAGCTCTCGTGCCTGGGACACAGACCCCCTCCATTCAATCTACATTTCATCATGGTAACAAGCGCTGTCGGGCCAAAAGGCCTGACACCCTCTCTCGCCACAAAGGCGGTTAGCTCTAATATATGAGGCCATTGACACTGAAAAGAGCCCCTGTCAGTACTAGGGGATTGTCAGCTGTGGGATGTCTCAGTGGGGGGAGGCAGCTGCCAGCCAAACCAAGCGGTGGAGCTTCTGTCGTGTGGGACAGGCACTGCAGCGTCACCTGGTCCCTGGTCCCTTGACACAGAGACCCCGGGTCCTCCCACAAGGCCCCCCTTTATTTGGGCACAGGTGGGAATGGGAAGCAGAACACATTGTGGAGATTAGTGGGGATCGGCCTCCCTTTGCTCTAGGTAGATGATTAGAGACACTGACTTGTGCAAAGCTGGTGTTTCCTGATCGGCACCAGATGGTGTTAACCCACGGTGAGGCATCAGCAGTCTGGAGTGTGTATGTGTGTGTGTGTGGGTGTGGGTGTGATGTGTAATGGATATGCTTCTTAAATCATACAATATGGACAGGTCCTCTGTGTGCCATTATGGTCAGCCGCTGCTGTCATCATGGTGCTCTTTAGCATACGCTAACCAGCAGTGGCAGCACTGGTTTCAGTCATAATGTTGTGCACAAGTAAGTCTGAAAATTAAACACAGCGATGCGGAAAAGTCTCATTTTAGCAGGGGTGGGCGAAGTATTTAGATTCTTTAAGTAAAAGTAATAATACTACAATGTAAAATTACTCTATTACAAGTACAAATTCTGCGTTCAGAATACTAGTAAAAGCACAGAAGTATTGTCAGTAAAATGTAATTAATGCAACAAAAGTAAAAGTTCTCATTTTGCTAAATGAGCCTTTTCATTGTGTCATATTTCACAGGATTATGAGCATTTTTGTTGTACTTGGTCAAGCTGGCGTTTTAACTGCATTATTCAGTGCTGAGCAGTTCCATCTACAAAAAACTTAATCTTAAAGACATTTCTGTTTCTGTTAATTAAGTCCTAATAATCTTAATTTCGAGTGCAGTAGCTCAACTTGTCAAACGTAGTTTAAACACAGTCCACAAATGTATGTTTGGATCTTAAAACAAGACATAATAATAAGGCAGGTTATGGACTAGAATTACAAAAAAGTTCAACACTAGCTGATTGTTTTATATCATATTTGCCTCTAAAATATGATGTAGAATTATTAAGTAGCATAAAATGGAATGGAGTAAAGAGCAAATACCATAAACTGTATTTGGTTACTTTCCACTACTGCATTTTAGATTATTAACCATAACGGACGTGGATGGAATAAATTCAATAGATTCTTATACAGAGGAGAGTGACACCTTATAAACCACCATAGGACTGTATTTTCTTTACATGTTAAAACACAATCTAAGATAAAATAGTAGAAACTGAATCCACTGAATTCTTTACTGCTGAAGTGATATGCATAAATTGCCCGAATCAAAGACACAAAAGTCCTTAACAACACGAGGGCAGTGATGATATTACACATTCCCCTTTTGTACATTTAAATGACATGCAGCCGACACTATCACACCATGGCCATGTAACAGATGGATAAGTTAACTGCTTCAGATACTGATCAATAGAGGAGCACTTGTCCCAACTTGGCTCAGCAAATCCTGCATTGACAGAGTTAATTAGGGGACTGAAAGACCCAATTAAGAGGATGGTGGAGCTGGACAGGGGAGACATATTGCGGGGACATAAGCACACATTGTGCAGCGTCTGGATAAAGGGGAACTTCAATTAAGGGAGAGCACACTTCCAGAGGCTTGTTGCCTGTTCTTTTTAATTTTGTGCCCAGTAAAGCCTACAGCCCCCTTTTCACCCAGAATACTGATGAGGGGAAAGCACAGCTGCTGGGGGTCAACATGCATATGCAATACGGTGCGCACATAAGCTCACACGCACATCCACAGATGTACTGAGCAGAGATTGATGAGTGGATTCAGGTTGGAATTGCTAAACACTGATTAGCCGATATAATGGCTGAAGAAGGAAACATTTGTTTGGTTTCATATGCAGCTTATTGGTTAAATGAGTTTTAATTAAAAGAAAACAACTTGCATATGCTTAAACTGTTAGTGTCCCTCATTGAAGTATTGTGCTACAGCTTTTCCTCATTTATTTTGATACAATTCATCACAGTTGTGTGATGGTAACTCCAAATTACTAAATTAAATAATTTACTCAATAATGTACCTAACATTGGATATTCCTGGTTCTCACATTTATCAAGCAGAAAGCATGCTGTGCAGAGCATTTAACATATGGGCCTACATCAAGGGCAGACTTGAAATGAGAGTCTTCTGTTGTCTTCATTGTATCAATATTAACTGTTATTTAAAGATCTTTACTCAGTTTTTGACCTTTTTACTTGTTATCCTTCACCCAAACAGAAAACACAGTGCACATAAACAATAAAGTTAATAATAATAATAATAATATATAATAATACATTTAATTTATAGAGCGCTTTTCAAGAAACTCACAGACACTTCACATGAGTTAAAAAGGAAAAGAAAAAAGTAATAAAAAACAACACACTAATAAATTATATTACATTATATTATATATCTACAACACTCAACAAGATTTAATTGTTAAAATCATTTAAAAAAAGCAGTTCTGAAAAGGTGGGTTTTGATCAGTGATTTGAAGTTGGATGGATCAGTACAGTCTCAGATTTGTTTGGGGAGAGAGTTCCAGAGGGAGGGGGCAGCTATGGAGAAGGCTCTGTCGCCCCAGGTACGATGCTTGGTCCTCAGTAGTGGAGACAGGAGGTTGGCATCAGAAGAGTGGAGGCTTCCGGAAGGAGTGTGGCAATGGAGCAGGTCTGCAAGGTAGGACGGGGCCTGGTTGTATTTGTGTGCGAGGAGAAGGACTTTAAATTGGATCTGTTGTTGGTCAGGGAGCCAGTGGAGGTTCTGAAGGATAGGGGTGATGTGGTCACAGGAGCGGGTATGGGTGAGCAGGCGAGCAGCAGAGTTCTGGATGTACTGAAGTTTATTAAGGACTTTGGAAGATGTACCATATAAGATGCTGTTGCAATAGTCAATTCTGGATGTGATGAAGGGCGTGGATGAGGGTTCTTGCAGCAAGAGGAGAGTGATGGTGGAGTTGGGCTATGTATTTTAAGGTGAAAAAAGGCAGTTCTGGCTGATTTGGTTTATGTGGTGTTCAAAGGAGAGGTTATTGTCAAAGATGACTCTGAGGTTGCGACTGTGAGGGGATGGAGACAGGGTGGAGGTGTCGACAGTGAGGGAGAAACTGAATGGTTTTAGTGATGGATTTGGGGCCGATGATGATCACGTAGGCAGGCTAAAGCAGCTTAAATAAGGCGCCCTGAATGACATTTGCCAATTGGATGCTTGAAGGGTGTTTACGATCAACTGCGATCAGCTGATGTAGCTGGAATTGAGAGCTGAGCTTGACAACATGGCCTGCCTGAACTAACGCTGTGCTTAATTTTTACACAAATATATTGAACAACAGCTCAGTGATTAACATGTTTCTCATTAGTTTAATCCAGATAATAAATGTTTGTGGTTTCTGTCATAGAATTAGAAATAGTCCCAGCACTTCCTCCCTAAAACCACAAATTGTGTTTTAGCTAGGCTAACCCGCATCCTCAGTCTCACACTCTGTACTGAACACACAGACATATTCTGAACTATTCCTTTAATAAAAACATGGTTTGTACAGTATAGAATGCACTGTTAATATAGCAAACAAACGGAATAAATATATTGAGTTTACATTCGATGAATGAAAGGACCTTACCTTCAATGAGCAGCGCTAAGGGACAGACAGACCGTCAGACAGAGAAAAAAAGAGAGTCAGACATTTAAACCAAAGCATAAATTTAACTCTGATGTATTGTTGATAAATCACAAGAAACTTGTTGATCCATTGTCACCTGGAGTCAGCTGACTCTCAGGTACACACATGTCTGTATACTGTACACTATTTATATTTATCCACCTTCTCTCCATCCGTTTTGTTGTCAAGGTCAATTCTGTCAGAGACGTGTTGAGCTCGCTCCGCCTCCTTACAGTCACGCTCAAACCGACGTTTACTCTGAACAAGTAAACAGCAAGTAAATAAAAACAACATCATGGAAGTGTAAAACATGAAGTTTCAAACATTTAAACTGGTCATTGAAATCAAAACTTTACTTTGTTTTTGCATTTTAATTCTGGGGTTAGATGTGTTGGGTGGAGAGGAGTGTTGGTGGGTGGGGGTCAGGGATGACTTACAGACTCCAGTTGTTTCCAGGAGCCCTCAATGTGCTGTTGGGCACGGCGGCCATCTTGAAAATGCTGCAATAAAAATATAAACTGTGATGAGCTTAATTCAATGTTTATTTGTTAGTTAATTTATTGTGTGTTTATTTGTTTACTTACAGTCTTCCTCTCAGTCTTCAGTTCCTGTGTGTATCGTGTCAGCTCACATACGATCTGTGAGTTCAGGTTTTCAGCAAGTTCTTCTCTCTGAACCGAAAGTTCATTCAGCTGCCGGAGAGTCGCAGCAAATGCTAAACACCAGGTGTACCTGTAACAACCAATCAGATAGTGTGACCAAGTGTGAGACAGTGTGAGACAGTGTGAGACAGTGTGAGACAGTGTGAGATAGTGTGAGACAGTGTGACACAGTGAGAGACACCGAGAAACAGTGTGAGGCAGTGTGACAGTGAGAGACAGCGAGAGACAGTGAGAAACAGTGTGAGACACAGTGAGAGACAGTGAGACAGTGTGAGAGACAGTGTGAGACAGTGAGAGACAGTGTGAGACAGTGAGAGACAGTGAGAGACAGTGTGAGACAGTGTGAGACAGTGAGACACAGTGTAATAATAATGTGTTACACTGTAAGAGTAAGACACAGTGAGACACAGTGAGACACAGTGAGACCCAGTGAAAGAGTCAGAGTCACTGTCATTCGGTACCAGATTTTGGTGCAGTGGCTCATCAGTGTCAGAGCACCAATAAGCAGCGGTGGGCCGTTAACAGGTGGAAGAGAAGTTTAGGAGAAACTCTGTTTATGCAGGGAGACGAGTTTGCTGTTTTTCTGCTGGTTCACACAGACTCTGAATGTTGCGCTGTTTGTTAGCCAGTGCAGCTAACCTTTATCTGCTCGTCAGTAAGTCTGTCCACGTCCTTGTCCGCTGGGATGGAAACCACAGCGCATCCTCTCCTCGCCAAAGCCGAGAGCGTTTCAGACAGCGTGGTGTTGTTTACAGGCCGACAGGTAAAAGTTGACGTGGGATTGTTATCAGACCCAGGGTAGCTGGTCTCTAGCACAGAGACAGTAAGAGGTCTCACTCTGACTCTATTTCCCAGAACCATAAATTCATCTTCTTGTTTGGATCAGACTAGACGCATTGCTGCCATACTGTTTGTTATTAATGTTCCTCTGACAGTTACATATATATATATATATATATATTTATAGTTGTATATAGTCCAATACTGTACATATATTACGTTTTTCAGTCCACTTATCAGGTTGAGTAAAGTGCGAAGAGTAAAAAACTTTTCTCCACCTGCTCCAGGTCTTTGAACAGCTTCCTCTTTTGAAGTGAAGCATTTTACCATAGTGTGCTGAAAATTGTTAAGGAACTGGTATCAATGTCAAGGTATCAGCCCCAGTGTGACCCCTAAGGGTCTTTTCAGACAGGGAGGCTGTTAAGTGCCTTGTAATTTAACTTCAATGAGAGGTGAGTGGGCAGGTTGGGAGGCGCAGACAATCTTCCAGATGGAGCAACAAGCAAGACTGTTGAAAAAAGTTGAATTTGCTACTGCTAGAACTGTAGAAGTGTTTTTAAACATGAGGACACTAACAGGAGAGCATTCACATGGCGGAGCATCATCAGAATGGATGTATCAGTAAATTCAGTTTAATTTAAGCTAGCCTATAAAGTTTTGACTGTGTTAACTTTAGCTGTCAACAAGAACAGTCTCTGGTTAGTATCAAAGACAGGATTGCCACAAATTGGGTTAGGGTTAGAGACAGAAGCTTCCATGGTTACCACCCGTCAAGCGCCTGGCATTATCTCGTGTTAACAGTTGTTAACTGCCTGTCTGTTCACATAAGGAGCACAGTGAGACCCTGTGTGAACAAAAGAACACTTTCTGAAAAGAACTTCATTGACTGAAACATAAAACTGAAACATGCTGACTGACCTGCTCTCATCCTCTCTGCTTCTCTTAGGATGATACTTCTTAGACAGACTCCTGCCGACAGACAGGTAGAGAGATAGACAGTTGGAGAGAGAGACAATCAATTTAATGAACAGATAAAACAACAGACCAGAACCTGTTTGTAATGCAGTTAATGTGTAGAGATTTATTCTAAAGTTGATCTGAAATTTGTCTCAATTCCTTTAAAAAATTCCTCCCGAAGATCAATAAAGTATTTCTGATTCTGATCAGGAGAACTTCTAGTTCACTTTCAGGTGACATGTAGGTGACATACAGGTGATATAGATGTGACGTATAGGGGATATAGATGTGACGTACAGGTGATATGTGACGTACATGTGACATACAGGTGATATAGATGTGACATACAGGTGATATAGATGTGACATACAGGTAATATAGATGTGACATACAAGTGACATACAGGTGACATACAGATGATATAGATGTGACGTACAGGTGACGTACAGGTGGTGCTGGTACCTGATCTGTTTGGCGTAGCTCAGCTCGATGTCGGCTCTCTCTTTAATGAACTTTGTGTATCTCTCCAGGAAGTCGATCCCCCAGCTTGTGTGTTTCTCCAGGTTATCAAACTGATCCTGAAACAGAACAAGAGTTCACTGACACTTCCTGGACTACAGCAGTGGACTAGGATCCTGGACTGTTTTCAGGACTGCTACCAACATTGAGTACTGTTGGGGACCAGCAACCCAGGTTCTGTCTGGCAGGAAAGATCAGGACTGACAGGTAGCAGAGAGCAGACAGACAGACAGCAGACAGACAGCAGTGCAGTTTACTTTTACTGGAGTTGACATTAGCAATCACTGTGGTTGTAACAACAACTGTGGACAAAGCAGGCAGAAATATCTGTTCTACTTTTAAGTTTTCAACTCGAGTACAGTGTTCTACTCGGTCTGTCTGCTCTCTGCTGTCTGTTTGTTCCCTTTATATAACATTAAAAAAATGTTTGACCCTCTCTCCATTCCCCCTGAAGCGCTGATCTGATTAGCTGTCTCCAGTGTTCATGCCCTTCCCAAAACAACCGAGGGCCACAGGATTCAACAACTACAGATCCCTGACCTCTGCTGTCATGAAATTTGACCGACCCACTCCCGGACCCCCTGGACTAGACTCCCGAACCCTCAGCACCAGATCACCCCAAAGCTGTACTCTCTCGTTTGCTCTTCTCTCTGTACACCAACA